TGGTAACCAATTATTCTTAAACAGTCTCTCTCAATTTCTACCTTCTTTCCTTTTCCAATCTAATTTTTCTTCTCTCTCTTCTTTATTTATCTGCCTCTTCTTTAGCAATTCTTTGCCTTTCTCTTTCATCTAGTATCTATTATCTTCGACTTCTTTCTTAAGATAATGTTTTAGTATGTAATTTAAACATGTCATCATCAATGTTATCCAACATTGAGTTGTATTCAACAAAGATATGATTCGAACTCAATAATTCAGTTGTCACATCTTAATAAATCCAAGGTAAGTATTCAGATATTAATTATATTTCAACAGGATCTCTAAAATATCCGCTAAGTTCCAATTGTTATAATGCCAAATTAACACATTTAGATAAATATTTCTTAGCTGATGCTCGACTGACTAATTTTTCATGTGTCTTGATATCCCTCTACTTTTAATTATGAAATTGTTATTTTAGTTTAATATTCTCATTGTATAACTGTTATTCTTTCTTCTCCAACCTATCCTATTCAGCCATTTCCATTTGCTTTAATTTTTAATAATGCTCTTACTTCTCCTTCATCTCTCTCAGCTCCTCTTCTTATAATACTTCCATTCGACTTAAATCCAAAGTCTTTCTTACTAATACCTAAAGAATTGGCTCAGCTTCATATTCAAAATTAAACAATTCTCCATCATCCCACACTTGAGTTTCTTCGTCTATTCCTGTCTTCTCTTTCATGTACAATCTAGGTACAACTTTCTCGATTATGAATTCTGTTTAAGTTTCTTTTAGATGTCGGGGTGGTTTGTCAGTTAACTCTTCAACATTGGGGTCTGTTTGTGTTTCTTCATTATGGATAGTTTCATCTTCCTTCTTCTCAGTCACTACTTTAGTGTTTTGAATCCTCTTTATAGTTGTCTACATAGTTGGCTCTGATTTATTCAAAACACTTGAATAAGTATTCCCTCTAATGACTCTCTTATCCCACATGAGGTACAAGGCATCCCTGTCCTCTCTTTATTTCATTTTTCTGAGCTGCTGCCAATCGATTAATAATTAAAGAAACTTGAATAATATAGGAAGATACTATCCCAAGCAAAAAGAAAACATTACAAATCAAAATTAACATAAAGTTGAAGGCTTCTAATCATTATCCCATATTTTATTAATTTCCTCCTTCAATCCTTTTGGGATCTCTATTCATTTCATCATAGAATTATTTACCAAACATTTACTTTTTTGCCATTAAGCCTTTTGATTTAAATAGGTCCTAAATGTATTTTGGATATCTTTCTGGTATTCTCTTAAATATTTCACTCCAATCTCCATTATATAATTCATATAAGAATAGTAACATCTCTTCATCTTCCTTATACCAATACTAGTTTAAAAGCACTAAGTCTTTATCTTCTCCTTCTAAATTTAAACAAGAATCTCTTATTTTGGCGAATCTTCGTTTGCATGAAGCAATATCTTTAGTTTTAACAACTTTCTACACCATTTCCCAATCCTTACCTAGTTTATCTACCATTTGTAATAATAAAATATCTTCATTTAATTCCCAAATAGGTTTAGGTTTTTGATTTATCAGATTTTTGTATCTCTCTTCTAGTAATGGTTTAGATTTGATATTCATCACTTTTGCTATTTTATCCCAATCCCGTCCATATATTTCCACTCCCTAAAGTAATTAATTATCCTCTTATTTAGTCCATGATCTTCCTGGCTGTACCTTTTTCATTTTTAAATTACTATTCTAATTAAGATTGAGTATTCAATTCATATACACTAAATATTAGAATGCTATTTAAATGTTGTTAAAATCATTGAATTTATTAGAATTTCAATATGATATTTATATTGAAAATTCAATCTAAAAAATAAAACAAATATTGATATGTAGAGTAATTTTGTTTCTGATTATATCAAGATAATAATTTAAGTTTCCGTCATACGAAAAATACTTTTAATGAAGTTTATACATATTTCAACTAACACACATATATTATACAAATCAATTTAAAATCATCCTCTTTTTTTTTGTTTTTTATTGTTGTCTTCTTCCTCAATTAAATCTTATGCTTCCTATTCTATTGATTAGGGTTAGTAAAGATAGGGTTATGGTTTCAAAATTTCAAGTAACCCATTTTTCACTGAATAACAAATAACAATCCTTTAATTATTTAATATGTCTAATCTATTCAGTAGAATTGGATCCATATAAAGCAACTATCTCTTATTTTTCATTTTTTTAATGTATTTCCTTGCCATTTCCTACAAAATATTTAAATTCATTATCAGCCATAACATCAATTAAGTAATCTTCATGAAATTCATCCTATAAATTATAAATAAATAATACATTTTTATGGCTTAGAACTAATAGAGCTTTTGATCATTTTATTAATCTAAGATAGTAATTTAATTTGTGGTTGTAACGCAAAAGCAAAAATTATTCCAATAGCCACAAGAGTTTAGAGGTTAGTCAAATCTAATCATCATTTATAATGATTCTTCCTCAT